AACTAGTCAAACCGATTTTCCAGCGTTCTATGAGTTTTAATTGCCGCGAATCTGTTTTAATCAGATTTAGAAATAATTCAACCAATTTCTTCTTAAATGTTCACTTTGCATTGAACATTTCAAACACAAGATCAAGAGCTTGGGGCACCTGTTTCCTCCACCAGATTTAAATAGGTTCCTCAACCGCTTCACCTACTTTAAAATCTGACATTTTTTTTAGCAGACATTAAACTTTGAAAATTTAGTACAAGCGAAGGTGTCCAACTAGGAAGTAGAAAAACTCATGTCTACCTAAATGTTTTTGAGATTGTTTATCGTGCAAAAAATGTTGATTTAAATCAGGTTGCCTCTTTTATTGGACACAGGATTTGACTCAAAAATTGTCGTTCCCAGTAGATACTTATCTTTCGGCATTCACAATAACATCTTACGTGAAAGTTTATGTTGATAATTATGTGGTACTAAACATAATTATCGGTTCAAGCCTTAATTATTTTCCAACATTGGTCACTTCATTAAATGATTATCGTTTGCTAGTTTGTTAATTGCTTAAAATTTTGGTTTGGTTTAAATAGTCCTCCTTGTCATTTACTCGGCAAGAAAGAAATTAATGCTCTGGTCACCCGTAGATAATCTAGTGGCACTTATTCGATGGCATTCACCCCATGGCTATGCAGCTCAGGTAGAAATTTTTCTGGCTAGAAGGTTCCAAAATACGTGCCTGCAGTCCTAACTTTAAAATATTAACCCATACATAATATTCGATCTCTAATAAGCATTAAAACCCTGCTTATTCGCGTGCCATTGCACTAATAATAACAATAATACCAATAGAAATATTACTAATATAATAGTAATAATACTACATAATGATCGCCCCGACCTCGACAGTTCTTCAATTCGACATCTTGTGATTGAAGTGTGCTTATATTACTTAAAGCTTCGCTGTATATCTACATATGCAGCTAAAAGTTGAAGAATTTTTGTCCCACTATTTTAATAAAATCCTTCCAGGGTTAGAATGATTTCGGTGGTAGTGGAATTTGTATATAGACTATTCAATTTTCAGGGCAGACATAACTTCATTAATGAACTTACCATGTTTCTGCGTTCGCTCAATCCCATACGTATCCATTGGGTACAAATCCATAACAACAATAGTCGTTGTACGGTTTCCTGATGATTCGATGGCTATATTTCTTGTGAGTAAACAATTGGTCCTCATAATTTATGACTCCATAAGATATCTTTCTCCCCTTCTAATTAAATGAAGTTCCTCAAAATCTGGATTAAGTATTCTGTTCTTCCTGTGCCATTTTCAAGTGTTCTGCTCCTCATTTGTTTCTAAAACCAAATTCTCCTGTTAGTCTAAGATCTGAATATTTGTTTCCTTTTTGACTTTAAGCGATTTAAATATTCTTCTCTTCATGTTCTCTTCTGCAACTTGAGTTGTCCGATCTTCTTGTGTCTTTCTAAGACCTGAGTGTTCTGCTCTGCTTGTGTCTCTCTAAGACCTGAGTGTTCTGTTCTGCTTGTGTCTTCCTAAGACATTTGTGTTCTGTTCTGCTTGTGTCTTTCTAAGACCTGATTGTTCTGTTCTGCTTGTGTCTTTCTAAGACCTGAGTGTTCTGTTCTGCTTGTGTCTTTCGAGACCTAAGTGTTCTGTTCTGCTTGTGTCTTTCGAGACCTAAGTGTTCTGTTCTGCTTGTGTTTTTCTAAGACCTGAGTGTTCTGTTCTGCTTGTGTCTTTCTAAGACCTGAGTGTTCTGTTCTGCTTGTGTCTTTCTAAGACCTGAGTGTTCTGTTATGCTTGTGTCTTTCTAAGACCTCAGTGTTCTGTTCTCCTATCAGCTTTTACGACCTGACTGTTCTTCTTGTGTATTTGTAAGACCTAAGTGTTCTTATGTACCTGTGTATTTCTACGAGCTGGGTGTCACGTTCTTCCTTTTTTCTTTGACTCAAGTGTTCTTTTCGTGCCATCTAACACCAAGGTCTTCCGTTGTTCATGCGACTTAATCGGACTGAAGCGATTTGTTGTAATCGTCAGTTTGTTTTAGTTAGACCGTACTTTTCTATATTTTTTAAACTTTTCTTCCATTAAAAAAAAATAAAAACAATAACAAAAAAATTTGGCGGCGCTTCGCGCCGCCAAGTATTCTTCCACCGCCGGCAAGTGTTCTCCCAACGTAGTTGGAGGATGGGTAAGAAAATGCAGGTATGCCCCTCTCATATTTAGCACAAAGCACGTAAATAATTGCATATGTATTGGGTGAAAATGATTACAAAAATGACGATTATGTAAGTTTAGATTAGCATATTAAATTTGAGGAAATCTTGTGTGACAGATTAGCTTCCGCGGAGGGCGACAAATACAAATATTTTATCGCCTCTATTTCTGATTTTTGGAACTTTTCCTAAATTGGTGAAGTAATCGCATTTTTATATATACTGTACATAAGTGCTTAAACACTAAACTTTCGAAATGTTTAGAGAACATCATTCACGCATGATCAGTCCTGATTGGAACTCTTCCTAAATTGGTGAAGTAATCGCTTATTTATATATAAATACTGTACGGTACATACGTAAGTGCTAGAATACTAAACTTTCGAAATGTTTAGAGAACATCATTCACGCGTCACCAGTCCTTTAAGTTAGTCCTCAACTTATTGTTAGATGTGCTTGTATTTATGAAGGAGGCAAATATGTATCCCTTCACAAAATGGTGTCCAATATCCCGCACTGGTGCAATGATTAATCAATCAAATTAGATACATGGGGCAGCCATGGACATATAACTTATAACTTATAATTATGACGTATGACTTATTTTATAAGTTATAAGTCATAGAAACGCCATAAGGCGACGTATATTTATAATTATAAGTTAAGTTATACGTCATAATTTTAAATTATAAGTTATATGTCCATGGCTGCCCCATGTATCTATTGTTTATTCATCGGTTGAGCTGTTTTTGATTAAAAATAAGTAAAATTTTCACTAATTGTTAGAAAAACATCGATTACGTCTCGTGTAAAGCTGGCAACCTGCGCCTATACGGGCCCTGGCCTGGTGTTTGCTGCCACCTTACACCAGCGTCGTCGGTATGCTTCCCCGGGTTTTGGAGGTATTGGGGTTTTGCGGGCTTTTGTGGGTTTGGACAAAAATGAGCACGGGTAGTCGGCGTAGTCGGGATTTTCAAATTTTATAAAGTATGATAACCGGGCTTTACTAGTATTTCAACAAGGTCATAAGTTTCTAGAATTGAATTAATTAACCACTTTATTGCAAAATTACTGATTATCCGTATTACCCACCTACCTAAATCCGGTATCTCAATATCTGGGTTATGTATTGGTGCATAAATTTCTTTCAAAAAGCTCATTTCCTAGTATACAGTATATACATACATATGTACAACACAACCTATTAAATATTGATGTAAATACGCATACAATGAAAAAATCCCAGGAAAAACTGATAATTTTTCAATTTTTATGACAAACTCTGCGTTAAAGCAATACTCCTTTTTGTCATGTATGACAAAAAGTAAGAATTATTTAATTCAACAAAGAGATCCACCACTTATTTTAGAAACTGGAGTTCAGTATTTTAAGATGTTACTATGGTCAGTGTGTGTTGATTGAATCCATTTTTTTGGCGGGGGAATTACCCTGGGGGGCCATATGGATTTATAACATGGTGTACATAGTGCACATTGGGACATATGTATATTTCTCTGGAACGGGTGGCTGGATCCCCACAAAATTTTTTGGTGGTAATCTATGTCTAAGTACCTCCACCCCTTTTTGGTGTTTTTCGGAAATTCGCATTTTGAAATTTGTAAAAAAATATTTCGAAAATTCGAAAAAACCAGAAATTTTTTGTTTAGATTTACGAATTCCATTTGTGCTTACATTGAACAATGGTGATCAGATTTGATAAAATATAATAAAACTACACTATTTAATACTGCTGGAGTAAAAATAGCCTCTATTATAACACACTGGTAATGTTAGTCTAACATGAAAATCCATGAAATCTAACATCAAGTTGAATTGAACAAAAAATTATTTAAATGTTTAAACTTCATAATCATTTTGATCAATATTTATAAATCATATTTTGTCATAGTTGTTCAATGTGAGCACAAATGGAATTCGTAAATCGAAACAAAAAAATTCTGGTTTTTTCGAATTTGCGAAATAATTTTTTCACAAATTTCAAAATGCGAATTTCTGAAAAACACCCAATAGGGGTGGAGGTACTTAGACATAGATTCCCACCAAAAAAATTTGTGCGGATCCATCCACCCGTTCCAGAGAAATCTGTGTCCCAATATGCACCATGCACACCATGTTATAAATCCATAAGGACCCCCAGGGTAATTCCCCCGCCAAAAAAATGCATTCAATCAACACACACTGACCATAGTAACATCTTAAAATACTGGACTCCAAATTCTAAAATCAGTGGTGGATCTCGTTGTTGAATTGAATAATTCTTACTCATACATATGTCACCCACATGTTGCCATTGTTAATTATATTTGGAACATACATACGTGAGCGATTATCTTTTAGTATAAGCTGACTGTCCGTTCCACGTGATGATTACTCATCCATGCCTTCTGCAAATATAATTGACAAGGTCGCATACGTAATCCCAGCAAATGGGGGACAGATGTGTGAGCATAACAGGAATATATGGCTTTAACCCTGAGTTTGTCACGGGACTGAAAACTTACCCGAGTTTTTCCCGGAATTTCTTCATTGTATCCATATTTATATGAATATTACATGCATAAATTATATACTTTATTCTAGAAAATACTTAAATTTGCTTGAAAGAAATTTGCATATGTAAGCATAACCCAGATTTCTCTGAATTAGATTAACACACCGGATTTTTGTAATCTGGTATGAGTTTGTCACATCTTGAAATGATATAGAAAGAATGAATGAATAGAAAGAATGACGAAGAAAGGTTCAAACTAGTACCAAAAGTAAAACATTTGTTGAAAACTTAAAATAATTTTTTTTCTTGTTTTACAGACAAAAAATTATAAAGCTCTTGCATTAGCAAATTTTACAAAATGTCCAAACTTTTCTTGTTTTTGACCGCTGTCCTAATTTTCTTCAATCTTACTTCTGACGTTGAGGGCTGTACTTGGTGTTCGGGTGGGACTCGGATCCCTTCAGGGAACAGACCAACTAAAAATGGGTGTGGATCCGGATGGGAAAGCGTAATTTGTTTCATTTTTTAGCGTAATTACAGAGTGGGGGTGGATGGGTTGTATAAAATTAGGCTTTTTTGATCACGGAATATATGGTCGGATCTCAGTAAAATTTTAAATTCTGATTCTTACTTATTTCAGCAAGTTCTGAACCGACTAGTGACTCCTAGAACGATCGCGTGTTGCAATTCGCACGATTTCTGTTACAACGATTGCTCAAAAACGAAAGCCATTTGTGACAATGAGTTCTCAAATTGCCTCAAGAACATTTGTGACAATTATAGGAGCGAAGGAATATGTGAGTATTTACAGTTTTGATTTGTTTTTCGTTATTATTATTAAATACTTGTGTCGAAATGGAACCTTATTTCGAGCCACTGGGCCATTTATTAACCAATTTGTACCCTAAAATCATGCTAAAAATTATGAATCACATGACGCTAGTTTATCAGTTAACCAGTTAACCCTTTAAAGAAAAATTATTGACAGCAAAGTTAAATTTTTTGGAAATTTTCTCTCCCTTTTCCTTTAGCGAATACTTTTCTTCAATGCATTGAAGAAAAGTATTGGCTAAAGTCATTTATTGAAAAGGCCCATTGCAATGGGCCTTTTCAACTTAAAAATAGCGTCATGTGATTCATAATGTTTGGCTTGATTTTTTGATACAACTCGTTAGATAGTTTAGGTGTAGCTTGGAAAAAGATTCCACTTTTAGTGGCGATGAAGATGTGAAAAATTTAAATACGATGAAATTTTAAATTTTAAAATTATATTACATTTCTAACCTTGTGTTTTTTTATACAACTGCATTTTCAGGCATAAGAGGAATCATGAACTTTTTTGTGGACAAGTTGGGTTGCTCGAAGTATCAAGGTGCTCAAGCAGAAGGGTGCAGATGTCAGGCTCGGACGGGAAAATAAGTTTAAGACAAAAGATCACCGGGTTGCTAGGACAAAAAAATAAACAATGGAATTCATATTAAATTGGATAGCATAATAAAACCAAAATAATAAATTAACGCCACATTTAAGGCGGCAAGCAATAAAAATAATTAAGAGTAATTAAGTAATGATCTTAGAATGTAGGCTGGTTTGTCCATAAACCGTCCTTATAATTAAAGACAAGAAGAACCATGCACCATGGGAGTACAGCGTCAAACAGACCACGTGGTTCAAGGAATTACGGAACCGCTGTGGGAAAAGTACACTTTGTCCGATCCCACCGTCCCAAAAATCATAATCATCGTCATCCCAAAAATCGTATTAAAGTTAACTGACAAAGCATCAAACTCCTTTATTTTATAATTTTGATTGGTACATAGTTCAAACATGTGTCCTTGCTTCATTAATCAAATTAAGTCAATTTCTGTACCAACGTTTAGGTTCTTGACAATGAGGTATTCCAAATTAGTTTAATTCCATATCCCAACTAAGATTGAGGATATTGAGACTAAATGTCATATTTTTCCAATTTGTCATAAATATCGGACATACTGGAATCGTGACAAATTGAACGATCAAATTGACAAATATTCCATATATTCGCTTGACATGGACAAGCTCCATTCTTAGCCATACATATCTTCGCTATGAAGCCAAGCATTCCTTGCCAAGAATAGCAGCATATTCCCCAAAAATAAGAGCTGCAAAGGTGTGCAAGGTGGTGTTAACTAAACAATGGCAACGACGACGACGACCACTAACTACACGTCGTAAATCAAAGTATTTATGTATTTTATCCCGTTTTGTTGGAGTGAATGGGGGGAGATAAGTCTTCCTAGATCATTATCGATTACAGATTTTAAGGTGACTGGGGTGAGGGCATACATAATTAATAAATTTACACAGCACAATAGTAAACATAGCATTCACTTATAAACATATTTAAATATGCAGCATCTGAATGAGGTATACATACATATTGATACCAATATATCAGCTGAATATAAACTCCGTTTCACACTACTTGATCTCACCGCGACACGAAAATAACATGGGATTTTCATTGTTCTTGCCTGTGGCTGCAAACTTAAGTAGTGCGACACGGAGTTTTTTTTTATATTAAGCATAGTAGAATTACATACATACATACACGTTGTGATCGTGTGATTCACATCATCAATCGACAATAGTTATTGGGGTATTAATTATATACCTATGTATTGATAAGGAGAAAGAGTTCTAAGTTGAATCCAATAATGTCATACCACCAATCCAAAGGAATAATCAGCGTGATGAAAATTCCTTCGTTATCGGTCCGTTCTTTATCAGTGGTTCAAAAGACAGCTTTTTACACTTTATATGCTGCAGTTCCAAATCCAAGCTGCGTAATTGACAACACTCCACTCACGCCGTACACCCCCACCGTGTAAACCTTCACTAGCTAACGTTGTCTGGGACTTTAGAAAATTTCTGGTTCTGGTATGCGCTACATAATTATTTAGATTAACTGGTTCAAATTTTACATTATTATTAGTTTTTACTCCAGCTCCAGAGGATACAGATATCTGTCCTTTCTCAGGATTTTCCACTGCACAATCAGATAATTTACATACATATTTAGGTATACCATTAAGAAGTTCGGGTTAAGAATACCTATGCATACTTGATAGGATAAGATCAAATTTATTTACACATATGTTTCTAATTGCACTTTCAGAAATTGATATGGATAACTACAACAAGCTCGATCTTCTCCTGGTGTCGACCACAACCGTTATTCAGGAATTATTCCTTATCGGCTGGTTCGCTTCACAAGGCTGCGAATGGCAAAACTCTAAATCCTTTGGAGATCGGTCGATCCAAAAATTATCAAAGCTCAGAAATGTGTACAAAAATTTTCAAAAAATCCAGAGGAAAATGCTACAAAGTGGGGACGTGCATACCTGGGATATCACACTTATCACGCTCCTCCTTAAGCAACCCATCTTCGACGGATACAAAACTGAGGGTGATATTACAAACGAAAACAAGGTCATCGAAGAGGCTAGCAAAATTCGAAATCAGTTGGCCCATAAGTCACTAAAAACGCTAGCGGACGATGAGTTTGAGGAACATGTGACCAATATATGCAGCATCTTGAGCGTACTCTCCATCCCACAAGACCAAATTGACGATATGTGCGCAGACGCAAGAAAGGGTGCCATTTACTCGCAGCGGCGTGCAGTTCTGCTCAAAGATGAAGGGAACCGATTCTATTCATCTGGCCAGTTTAAAGATGCTTGTGGAACTTACACGCGCGCCATTGGCGTCTCTGAAAACCTGCCAAAGGACCTTCTAGGGGTGCTCTACTCCAATAGATCGCAGACATATATAAAAATGGTATCAAACAAAATGCCCGACTCGGAACAACAAAACCATTACAAGCTAGCGCTCGCCGATGGTCTTGAAGCAATTAAGCAAATGCCTGCATGGTCAAAAGCATTTTTCCGAGTGGCGGAAGCCTACCGAGGTCTAAGCCGTTGGAAGCAAGCTGTAAACAACTATGAACGAGTCTGCGTACTGGAGCCAACTTTAACGATAAGTGTAAAAGAGAAGCTAGAAATTTGCAAAATTATGGCAAATATTATTCTAATTGCGGATCCAAACGATGAAGAGGGACACCCAATGAGCTTTGATGAACGCATAAAAAATTGGAATGACGACCCCAACAGCGATGGGGTTATGACGCGGCGCCGATGGATGGCCATGGAAGCACTGCGCATAGGGCAGAGTTATGCGATGCTTGGCCACCGTTACAGAATGGGGTGGGATCTAAACATTGACTTGAACGAGGCAATGAGATGCTACATTAAAGCAAAAAAGTTAGGAGATGTCGAAGGTATATATTGGTTAGCGCGGATGAAGTATCGGGGTCAGGTGTCCGATCCGGACGCTACCGGGGGATTCGAAGCTAGAAGAAAGCATGCTGAATTATCGAGACTTTTAATAAATTCTGAAGAAGATATGCCTCTGGAATGTGTCGATTTGTAATTCGCAGCGTGTCAACCAGAGGTAGAGGTAGCGCACCAATGGGGACCCAGTGTACAATTTGTAGTCTTCTGTAGGAAAATATTAAGCAGAGGAAACCTTACGAGGGATATACATAGAAAATTGCGCTACTGTATCGCTCATGCTACTCAGGACGAGCAAAGCGTTATTTGGCTGGAAGAATCTATTAAACTATATCCGGATGATGTATTACTCAAAAACTTACTGTCAAGCGTGTACGGCTTCCTCGGGCGACATAAAGACGGCTTAAAACGGGCGGACGAAGTGTTAAAGATAGATTCTTCCAATCGCCAAGCTATATTTGCTCGAGCAACACACTTGAGACTTTTAAACCAAATTGCTGTCGCTATCCGTGCGGCGCACGACTTTTTGCACCACGCAGAAAAGGATGACCGCAAACGCCCAGAGTTCTTCTACACGTTGGCCTTGCTGTACTTAGAAACAGACAAGAAGAATGGGCATCAGAAATTCATGCTATACTATGCAGAACGCAAGAAAGCAGAAAACGACTTGCTACCGTGTTTTATACCTTATGAAAATCGTATTAAAACCAGAGCGGATTTTTGCGCAAGGATAATTCCACTAAAATTTTCAAAGTAGAAAAGCTGAAAATTGAACGATCTACGTGAATACTTTAATTGCATGCTGGTTTAAGAACGACTTGAAATTAGTTGTTTACGAAAAAGTATATAACTGTCCTCAAATTAATTTAGGAATAAAACAATTACATTTCAGGGCGAAAATTGCATCCATGTGATCAGTATGTGACTAAGTACTTAAACGTGCATCTCTAAAAAATAGATTGGCTGACGCTAAATTGAGATATTTTCGTTCTTTGTAACTTTGTATTTTCGTTCCTTAACGAAAACGTTTCTTAAGATCAAAGTAGTGAACAAAATGTACATAATAGCCACATTACCACAGATTACAAACTATTCTTAAACATAGTTTTTAGTTACTTGTATACATCCAACTAAATATTTGTTGAACAATGTGACAGTTGGATAGATATATTAATTTTCAAATTATACTCGAATTTGTCGCTTGGTGTCTAGGGCTGAAAACCAGCACTCGTGCTGACCCTCATACGATACCATTAATAAAAACTTCAATCAATCAATGAATCAATCAATTCCACGTTAAATACCACCATGGACATATGCATAAATATCCTAATTTACGTGGTGCTAATCGATATTTCTTTACGTTGAATGTCCTTTAACTTTGCAGACGTTTACACAACATACGTATGTAAATACATACATACACATACCAACTGAAAAATTTATTTAAACAAAAATTTTCATGAAAAACAACTAGAAAATATCGTATCAGTAAAAAAAAAAGCAGTCAAATCATCGATTGTTTATATCGATCAAATTCAAATTAAGCTCCAAAATACATAAGAAGCTAATCTGATAGCACGCACTAGAGGTGAGCCGGGCCTGGACTTTTCAAAACCCGGCCCGCCCAAGCCCGGTTCAAAAGCCCATCTCAAAAGCCCAGGCCCGGCCAAGGACCGGAAAAATTGAGCCCAGGCCCGCCCAAGCCCATTGGGCTTTTTGTGAAAAAAGCCCGCCCAGGCCCAGGCCCACCGGGCTACCCACTGGGCTTTTTGTCAAGGCTAGGTTTAAATGAATGGTTACCAAAAACACCTAGCATTCAAGATAGTTATTGAAGGGCACCCTAAAATTTGGAAAATTAAATTACTTATTAAGATGAAGGTAAAAATTAAACCTGAATTAAAACGTCCTGAAAGAGTTGCAACTTTTAATTGATTACAGGTAGCTGTGTCAAGCTGTGCATTATCTGGGACTAATTTCAAATTCCCTTAGTGTAAAACGTTTTGAATATGTATCAAGTAGAAGTAGTGATTGCTGTGGTTTTAGCATGGGCAATAAGGATATGTACATACGTATGTATGTATGTATATATATAACGTAAATTACATTATGTAATGATCACAGAAAGAAACAAGTAACTCTGATGTATAAAAAAATAACTGGTGAATTGAAAAAAAACATCAAGCACTCCATGTAGTTCTACTGGTGTGCT